TGTTGGATTAACGTGGAGCCAGTAGCAGCAGAGGTTCAAACATGCAGAGAGACAGATCAAATGACTTGATCCACCGTCTTTTATCACCGAAAGCCGACATTTATTATTTCAATCACCCTCTCTTGTGTATGAAACGAATAAACCGGTAAACCCTGTGAAGGATCCAATTTCAAGTAGTTGAGGACATTCCTCTCATATCAGATCAGTCTATAAAATCTATTTTCCCCTCGCAGTGAAGCTCCTGACCTGTACGCTCTTCTACATTTTCAATTCATACCAATGCCTGGATGGATTGGTGTCCAGCAAAACACTCCACATACAGCATGTGAGTTCTATTTCCCTGTTAACTTTAATGATAAATGATGATGGATTAGCGTAAGAGGGTCGAGCTTCCATCACACCCGGTGGACATTTGTTAAGGCTTCGTGATGAATGAAAAACAACCCTCCTCCCATCACGCTTTTAACTCACCGCCCCGAGGTCATTCACTCCTACTGAAGACATAAATGTTAACAACATCCACAAAAACACAAACGTACATTGAAGTAAAATTCGGGAAACTATTAATCTACTGAAATGAGTATTATTGTGTATAGAACTGACATATTAGCCTGAAGGTGAAAAACTAAACAAGAAAAGGGTGCAATGTGATTATGAGGCAATTCCTCACCATCAATGTACAGTTACTAAGATGCCCAGTCTGAAACATTAAAGAACGGACCCTATTGAATAGTGCTTGTTTTGGACCATTTACTTAAAATGTCAGTCATCCGTTTTGCTTCTAAAGCCATGCAGCCATACATGGACATTTACACTTGTGACCTCCATGGAGTTTGTTTGTGTTAAAGTACAATACAAAAGTAACATAACTACATGACACAGTAATATGACAAATAAATGACATGCAAAGACTACCGGGTGGGAAATAGGGACCACTCAAGCCAAGATGTAATTCTGTGGTACCGATGGGCTTTAGGAGCCCACAGAACGTAAAAAGGCTGATTTGTGACTTGGCGTGAAGTCCCTTTTTGTCGTGTGTTTAGCGGTGAGCACCTTTTTACAAAAATACATATTTTGTACTGTACAATAGTACGAAGGCTGATTTAACTTAAGGTATATTATTCTATTTTTTATTATTATAACTATTCCTATAGGTATGTTTAGTCATGAATTAAATGGACTTGTAATGAACGTGTAATTACGTCTCATACATAGAATTATATCTCTTTTTGCACAGTGTTTGGTGGGCAGAGAAAAACTTTCAAAACTTTTCTTGCATCTTAGTACCTCAAAGTGTTACAAACGACACAGTTTTCTGCATAATAGGAGTCAGATGAAAACACTGTTGAACTCATGAATAAAACGTTCAACTGAACTATCAAAACATTGAGCCGCTAGAGAGAAAAAAGGACTCCGCACAAACACATTTTGACCCTCCGATGAGATAGAAGTATTTCAAAGAGCTAAACAGCCAAAACAACGGAGCTGAGCTTCACTTCCATGTGAACGCTGCGTCTGCTGAGGGCGTGGATGACGGATTCAACAACAAATCTGTCAATTCTAGGTCCGGCAGTCTTTATTTACATTCAAACAGCCCTTAAAATGTGTTTATGAGTGTGTTTGTTTGCACGCGTGAGCCTAGATGTGTGAAAGTGATGCGTTCCATTTCTTGATGAACGGTTTCTACACTTGAAGAGCCTGTTAATTAGCTTTCAGGGAGCTGCCACTGATTCAATTAATGATGCAATATATAGAAGATAGAAAGAGAAAAAGTAGCTCAATCAAAGCAATTAATGAAGCAACAAGACCACGTGAAATCATTTAAACCAGGAAACTCTTTTTGGATAAATACACTGATAACCATGAGTATGACGGCGTAGTTAATGGACAAATAACCGTTTTAAGGAAGTTGATTGCAGACAGAAATACACATGCTTAAAAGTGTTGTCAATAAAATATTGAAGTGTGCATTTGCTTGAAAAATGAGATAACATCAGCTATTCCTTTGTTAGTCTCACAAAGGGGAAATTCACAGGATCAAGACTAGACAAGACAAGAACAGTAGTGACAAGTAAGTAAATCATATGTGAATAATAGACAAAAATAAAAAAGCAGCGAAAAAAACACAGTAACTAATTATAATAGGAACTAATTAAATATACGTAAATGTACACACAGTGTATTGCACATATGTTTTAGTCTTCTTTGGTGGCTTTTTCAGTGACATAATGTCCTGTGGTTCACTGGGCAGCAGCAGGAAGGAAGGACCTGCGGTTCCTCTCCTTCACACACCGGCGGTGAATCAGCCGCTGGCTGAAGGAGCTGCGCGGAGCATCCAGGGCGTCCACCATCAGGGATTATAGCTTAGTCATCATCCTCCGGTCTCCCACCACCTCCACCGCGTCCAGTGGACACACTAGCATACTGCTGGCCTTCTTCATAAGTTTGTTGAGTCTCTTCCCGTCGGCCGCCGATATGCTATAATATAATATATCTATATAGAATAATCATTTTGCTGGATCAAGGAAGTGTCATTATTGGACGTTAAGCTTGAACCAGTGTCCCTCTCTTTCCAGTGTATAAATATGTACAGTAATTTAAGTGCTCGAGGCAGATGTTCAATGGGTGATCTCCAATCCACAATTTCAGAATTCCAGAAGAGGCCGTCAAAGTCCTGCAAAGGAGACAAAATAGTTTTTTTTCGAGTTGCTAACGCTGCTCTTTATTATCATCATCGCTGAAATCACAGTACAGTCCCTGCAGTGTGTAGTTAAAATAATATTGGCTGAGATGGATTTATTATCAACGGCATGCCAAAGGTTTCTCACTGCAGGTGCCCCCCCCCCTCAACTTTTGGAAATAAGTGGCAAACTGGCCTTTGCAGCCGGGTTTCAGTACTTTTGTAAAAGGTAAGCTGCACTTCTCCACATCGCTTTGCCAGTATCTGCGGCATCATTTTGGCATATTACTTTAAAATTTCTAATTCACCACAAATACTATTGTGTAGGGAACTGTTTATCTTACATCCATTTATAATGCAGTCTTCCCCTGAAGAACTTTTTATTTTTTATATAAAAAGGAGCCGTGGAACGATATGGTAGTTTGTTTACGGTGCAATAGAGAGAGACTGCGACTAATTTGTGATCATGCTGCATTGCAACAGTGCGTATGTGTGTTACTGACGCACACACTTCCCCAGTAAAATGATGATGATGAAACCTAATGTATGCAGCTTCAGCATAACAGCAGAAGTCACATCAAGGCTATCGAGGTAAGAGGATGTGGACGGGGATTCAGAGGTCATGAAATTTTAATGAAACAAATGCATACAACAAACTCAACAACGGTGTGTTGGTGCAGTTTCACATATAATAGGAGCAGGAGGGGCGTGTATTGGCACCATCCCATATTGAGCAAAGAATAATTTGAGTTTATACTATCGCTTTGAACACAGGCTTAAAATGATAAAAGTCTGTGTTTGTCTCATCGAGATGAATTAAGTCAACACAATTTCCCATTTATTCTTGAAGAAATTGTCTTTCATATTCACAAGTGACAAGCATAGCGATATAAAAATAATAATGTTCCCGTACCACGGGGCTCTGGGTCCCTGCCCCTTCGCCCATGTGCAGGGGCAACATGGGCTGATGTCCACACCCGCCACATTCGCCTCGCAGGCAGCGTGGGTTGGGCGCGCAGAAGAAGCTCCGCGGTGCAGCCGGGCGCATCGAAGCCTCCCCGAAACGCACATTTTAATGCAACTTGTTGACGACACCGTCACCCGACCGCCTCAACACCGGCAAAGCCCCCCATGTCTTCCCCTGCAGAGGGGTGAGGGGTGAGGAGTGAGGGGAGGGGAACGGCGGGGGGGGGGGGTTTGACGGTTTGCTGGATAAAAAGGATGGATGAGCCGCGCTTTTGGGGCATCACACTTTTCACACCTTTCACTCATTTTGAGGCGCTTCCAGTTCCTCGGGACAAACTCGAAATAACTTGTTTTACCGTGTTAATGTGAAAGCAGAACGACGCGCCTGTGAAGCATCTCAGCACCTCCAGCAGCAACATCTACTGAAGCTGAAGCCGCCCGCTGCTTCCTTCTGAATGTGCAGTCTGTAACTGGACGTGTTTAAAAGGAGCGCACCGCTTGTTGGGATCCCCGGATCGCTTTTTACTCCCTTTTTCTTAAAAGAAGAGTGCAGGCTACATTCGTCAAATGGAGTAAAAAAAAGGTAAGTTTTGACGATATTCTTTTTTTTTTTTTTTTACATTTGTCGTGTGTCAAATAGAGACCATCTGTCCGCGTTCGTAGCATTACGCACGGATACGAGAGCGCATTTCAGGTTCAAACAGGCTGGTATGATCAAGCAACTCTGATATTCTGGATAAAAACGCCACACACGAGATAAAGAACTCCCGTAGAAGTCACTAAGGGGTCTTGAAATGAAGTTCAGAGGATAAAACCTGCATGAAGCCGCCAGAGTAAGAAAGCGGATTTGGAGGGTGAGTAAACAGCTGGAGTTTGCAGGACGAAAGTGATGTTTACAAAAAACCCCTTTAATCATGTTATAGTCATTTTTATATGAAAAAGAGTAGGCTACTGATTTGAGCTCTTCAAGGTCATTAATTGCAGCTTAATTTTGCCCGACAACTTGGTTCATTATCTATTCCTGCACTATCAAGATAAGTGTGTTTTGTTATTGCTGTTTAAACATTTCCCCCCTTGCGTTAACAGGGATACAACTTCTATTGTAATAAAGCATATTTAATTTGGTTATCAGGCTCGAATTCCTGTATGATAAGGTGCTGTAAAAGAGAAAGGTCTTTGACTGGCTATGGAGCCAACATTTTATTATGGTGGTTTTCAACCAAACATGTGACACTGAAACGGGCAGGAGACATGGTGGTATTGGTTACAGGAACTTATGCGCCTTATGGGCTTTGTTTTCGGACGACATTCAAAAACATATGCTCTAGCAATCTGGTATGTGAGACGGATAATATTCATGTTCTATAGTTGGCTGCGTGTGGCGAAGAACCTACATCATATTGTTGTACCCCTCCGTCAGCCCGTTCTCATTGTGAAGAAGGAGTGGAGCGATCTGAATAACATGAGATAGATGCTGCTTTTGCCACTTAATGGCTGCTGGTGAGGAGGAGCGGCCCAACCATCAGGTCCATTTCAAGTCGGAAAAAATGAGCCTGTCGGCTGTGCTCTGGAGCTTTTCGGGAAACCACCTCGGGCTCTCTTTGCAGAGAGCGGGTGAGTTGCATTTTCTTTGCTTTGAGTGGCCGACTGATGCCAGAGATGCTGCGCGAAATGAAAGGGAATCGCCATCACAATGCTGTGATGAAAAGTATCTTTGAGCACACAACGTGCGTCATGCAGTTTCCACTCAGACACTGATGCAGGTTTGCACAAAACGCACACACCCGCGGACACACACACACACACACACACAGGCCTCTGCACATGCACTTTAACAATCAGGGTGTAGAAATTGTACAATTCATATTCATATGTATAGCCATACCATCTCCCAACTTAATAACCTATGTTCAAGATTGGAAACGTATATATGATACCAACCATTGTGATGCAGTGAATATGTAATATCCTTACACAATGATGGCGGGGTATTCTCCTCTCATCTGGGGCTTGAGAGGGCATATTACATATAGAGGAGTGCTTCAGAGCTTATTAGGCAAAGCATAAAGTTAGGGTTTAATAATTAATGGAGGAAAAAGCAATTTATGCCTCACGGTTTCAAGAGTGTAGCACAATTAATACGAAGGTTAACTCCAAGAAGACGATATATTGGTAAGAATCAAATCCCTGTTCATCTGTTTTCTCACGTTATGCCTGGGGTCATAGTGTTTTAATCTTAGGAACATCTCCCACTATTGAGAAATCACATCTCTGGGGTGCAAATCACTGTGAAAAGCCAAGACAAGAAAAGCAGGGATACGCCGACGTATAAGAGGATCAATCGCACTGTAAAATGGATATGAACAGAAACATAGAGACATGCTGACTGCTTTAAGTCACGGATATGCAACCGTTTGCAAGTTGTAGCTCATCCACTGGCACTCTACGGCAGTGAGTGAAGCAAGAGAGCTTTTTAAAAATATTCAAATGCCTCTCATCTGCATGTCAGGTTGATAGGGTTATTGACTTCAACTGTGTACATTCCCCTAAAAATAGTAGCCTTCTCGTGTTGTGCTTCCACATATTCACACATTGTTCAGATTATGAGAGGAACACGTCTTTAAGATGTCGCCATGCCTGTAGATGGAATAAAACGACGCATTCGTTGGAGATTTAAAATCAAATGTGGTGTCACAATTCAACTTAAGCATTGAACGTTTGCACAGATGGTATTGCAATGCATGATGGGAGTTTAAGATGACTGGAGGTATTTCACTTGTGGGACTGTGTTGAAACCAGAACAAGAAACAGATGCATGCAGATGAGTCACAGCTTCATTCCACAATCTGAAATTTGTTACTTTGTCCTGAGACGTCACTTTTTCCAGGAGACGTAACACAGCAAACACACTAAAACACATGAGTTCATTTAACAGTGTCGTCACTCACGCTGTTTGTTCTGCCGACTACTGTTTACAGAACTGTGCAGCATGTCAGTAGCTGTTGAGCAGATGGGGGGGCAGCGACCGTGAAGAAAACTTTAACTTTTAGATGTAAAACACTGCCTGACTACACGTCTTTGCAATCACGTACCATGGAAATGGAGCAGGAGATGCTGTAAGTTCTTTGAGGAAGATGAAATGAACACTGACACTGTACTCATTAACTGCTGACATAAGAGAGAGTTAACAGCATCAGACAAACTAGATTCCCAAAACCCAGTGAGAAGCCATCCGGAAAAGTGACAAGAGGTATTAGTGCACCGCTATTTCAAACTCCCTTAAGTATTCAAACTAAAACCAATGTGTTAGTGTCCTATAGTGTGAACAACGCACACGCCAAACGGAGCCACTTGGCAAGCTGTAGAAAGTGCTCTCGGATGAAAGTGGAATAAAGTAAACAGGCGAAGGGGTTGAGAAGCAGTGGCAACCAAAGCTGACGACACTGAACAGTACCGAGAGAATAAGTGCAGGGAATTATCAGCACATAACACCAATCATCAGCGGAATCCAGTGAACTGGTCACCATCATTAGTCATCCAACCGTGAGTCATAAAAACAGCAGCACCGAGGACTGATGTGATCCTCAGAGGAACAACGAGGGTGAAGAACACAAAGGAGGCCTTTTTAGTCAAGAGAGACCAATCTAAAGACATGCATTCATGTGATACTGAGATACTGTATGTGTTCTTTGGTAATTAGAACCTATCAGGATCTCACCATTTTGGGGTGGAAGTCACGCCTCAACGCCGGAGGCGACGGTGGATTAGCAGCTGAAGATCTAAATGGATAGGATTTAAACAGGGATTCCAAATGAGCTCCCCGGTAGTGTAATTGGGTCGAAGTGGGTTACAGCAGACGCAGTAATGACAACTGAAAGCAGCAGAGAGAAGAAGTGTGTTTACAGTTCGATACAAACTAGAAGACCGGCTCATGGTGGAAACCCCAGTCGTTGTGCAGAACCGATCCAATGTAAACTTCTAGCCTCTGTGACTTTAAACTGTGAGTGACAGAGCAATCAACACGATGATCCACCGTCTTAATATCAAAATGTTGTTTGGACTGGAAACACGTGCACAAATGGTACCAAAGAAAAATGGGTTCATCAACATGAAAGACTTCTAGGGGAGTTTTAAGAAAATACAGGATCTACAACTAACAGAGAGAAAACAGAGATAAGGAGTCCCGATGATGTTGTAGCACCATGAAAGTAACATGTACACAACAGCTACAGAGAATTGACCAGAAGTCATGGAAGCTTCTGGCATCACGATTGAGGGTCCAGACACAATAAACGAGAGATGCTACAAGTCCAGCTTGTAAAGCCTCAATAACACCAGCCACCAGCTTTAGAGGCACTAACAATTTTATTGTAAAAAAAAAGAATCCCCCCCTCTATATTATCTATACTTTTATAAACCCCCAAAATACAATGTTTAGTGTTGGCTTTAAATGCAAAATTAAAGTATTTTTGTTTGAGTACAATTTTAAAAATATGAAAATACTCTAAATGGAAGTTAGTGTTTTAAAGCTAAAAACAAGATATGGAAGAATACAGACATCCGTGAAACGAGTCTCTACATTGTGCACTTTAAAGAAAATCCTCTTGTCACACTTTATGTGCTGTTCCTTCTCTTTACACTGAAATAAACACAACCCATTAGATTTGTGACTCTCAATGGTCATTTACCGGCAGGATTATTCGCAGAAAAAAGCACTTCTCCTCGTCGTTGTTTTCTACACCATTCCAGCCTCAGCGCTGAAATAACAATTGACGTTGCATTGTGTCAGGAATACGTTAACCATGCTTTGCTTTATTCTGAGGGATTTTAAGCTCTGCGAAGGACCTTTTTCATTTTGTCTTATTTGATCTAATTTGTTGTAGCATTCCTCAATTAATGTCCTTCTCCCCCCCTTTTTTCCCCATTTTCTTCCAGTCTTGTGTTTGTTTCGTCCCCCTATCCCTTCATCTCTGAATCCATTTTTTTCAGTCAGGCTACGCAAATGATTAGTGCTGAATCCTAAAATCTCCAGATGAAAGTCGTAATTATAGATCATGACAATTTTCCAATTATCATGAAAATCTACCCCTCGCCCTCACAGCGGCAGCAGCAGCTGCACCACTTAGTGGTTAATGTTTCAAGATTGACTACTGGTTGAAAGATGCCTGTTTCCATTACTGAGCGTAGAACCAGTTATAGGAGGTAGAGCTTGTGGTGTGTTCAAGAGAGAAGAGAAAGGAAAGGATGAGTGGAAAATACAAAAATATTCATCTCCTGTGCTGCAGCACTCACCTATAGCCTATTTGTATTTTTGAACCACAGAACAATATGAAGCAGTTTGTAGATTCACATCTTGCAAAAGTGTGGTGTACTTGAAAAACGTGTGTATAGTATTATTACAAACATTCCTGTACTAACCATTTTGTGGATGCCACATTCACTCACTTCCTCGTTGGAGCGTTGAGTATCATCCACTGAAGCACAAAGTGCATCGTTCTCCTCCTGAAGGCTGTAATATCATCCGCCTGATATCTCTGTGACTGTGACTGCCTCTCTTATTAGTCATAGATTAATCACGTTAAATCATTGTTTTTTCATTGGTGTCACAGTGCACAAGCTCTGCTCTGCCAAAGTCAAGGACAGCTGCAGTGTCGACTTATTCACAAGTCAGTGTACTTGCTTTGCGATATGAAATTCTTCTATTAATCTGTGTTGACATTTTTATGAAAGCAAATTGCCCCCACATGAAGCTAAACAGGACCGTATGTGTCAGTTTTAAGGGTCACTAATGATGAAGCCATTAGCACACACATTTTGGTCCTGAGTGAACCAGTTACTGCATGAAAGAAAATGTTGGTAGTTGTGAATTTGGTACAATAATTGATCTTTAGAAACAGAACAGAAATTAAGCTGCAATCGAGATGCAATGCAAGCTGTTGTTTGAACGTCTGCTGCTGTATTTTAAGAGGTTGAAATGTTGCATTTGATATGCAGCATTGAGCTCAGCCAATGTGAGTTTTTAATAGCAGCATGCATTTTCAAATGTGGACCCTGCATGCCGGGTCTTTTGTTAAACACACATGTTTCAAAGTCCAAATTGTAAGAACAGCAATATATTTCCTTTTTTAATAAGATCAATTAAACTATTATTTATTTTCTCAGAAGAGGACTGCAGTTTTGAAGTGATTGCAACAAATTTTCACAGCAAAAAGAAGCTTATTTGTATGGCAAAATTCAAGGACCCTAAAAATCACAGTGAAGAAAAACAATGCAGTTTCAGTGTGGTTACAGCTCTTAGATGGTGTTTCATTTACAGCCAACTATACTTTAGAAATCAATAATGAATCTTTGATCGTAATCATTATGACAGCATTGAATTTGTGCTGAGTGCTTCTTAATTGCATATATATTTTAAAGTATCTTATTACCTTTAGTGTCTACATGCTGGCTTACTGTTAAATGATAATCCTTTAATGATACTCCAATTTTATTGATTGCCTGGAGTTAAAACAATCATGTTTACAGTGCACAACAAAAAGAAGTGCGTGTCTTTGGCACAAATCACACAACAGTGGGTTGATGAGTTTGTGCACAAGCAGCAGAAGATCAAATCA